TTATTTCAATATCCTATTCGACAAGTCTGAAGAACAACGATGACTAAAATTCAAATGTTTATTTCCCTAAACCTTCAAAATAATTTCGAAATACTTTATTCGAATCGGAGTATTCCAAGTCAGTATCGCTAATTGAAGAAATTATTTGATTGTATTTCAAAGAACCGAAAGGAGAATATTTAAAGTCTGATATTAAATGTCTAGCAAGTACCAGTAATTGGTAAAATGATTTATATTTGTTTTAAAAGGAAAATTTCTAATAGGTATTAGTTCAAATGAATTGTTATTCAGTCTATTGTATTGAAATTGTATTGAAATTCTAATTGATTCTAATGTATACAAGTGTTACAAGAAGGCTGAGTGTGTACAGGGTGGACATAGACTAGCTAGTAGCCCCCGACCACTCTATTCACGTCTCAGAACCTTCAGGTCAAAATACGCCGCGAAGTGTCTAGGGCCCAGTATAAAGGGTGAATAAGTTCGCGGGACATCGGAGGGTCCTTATATACCTGCGGTACCCTCTCCCCAAAGTCATTAGCAAAATCGTCGGTTAGGTCAGGCGGGAGATTTTCGCGGGAGATTCTCGTTATCGTAACACGGTATAATTTATCAATTTTCACAATTTTATTAAAAATTTATACTTCCGACAATTTGTTATAACATTGCATATAACAATTTATACGTTTTTACAGTATTCTTCAATGGAAACATAGGTTTTAGCGTTCTCGTTACTTACTCGTGGTTAAATTAATTTCGTAGGGATTAAAAATCAGGTTGACCTGTGGTCGTAGATTAAAAATAATCATAGTACAGTTACATTTATCGTGTTAAATAATTCCTTTTACACGAATCAAAAATGTATTCATCGTTTGTTTGTTATAATACCGTGAAATGAATTATAGTACACATTTTCTCTATTCACACTGAATTTAAAGATTATAACGATTAAAAATCAAGTTGACCTGTGGTCATTTATCAAGAATAATCATAATAAAGCTGAAATTATTGTGTTAAATGATTTTTTTAATACGATTTAGGAATTTATTCAACGTTTGCTTGTTACAATACCATGAAATAAATTATATTATACGTTTTCTATATTTACACTAAATTTATCGTTCTATTTACATGTCATAACAATTATAACTACACGTTATGCTGCGTCCGTTTGTTTTTTCTGTGCAGTTCAACGTAATTTACTTAAATTTACGTTGCGAGACAGTATAATGTTTACAATTCTACCTAAATTTTTGAAATTCAGAAAACTCAGGTAAACTTCCATTGCATTTAAACGATATTCTCCACCAAACTGGACAAACTGTCACTAGTTTTTTTTTTACGTGGAGGTAGGCCGACTCTATGTGATAAACAATTGGCAACCAAACGGTGGCTCGCTAAAGCGATATATTATGAAATGAAATTAATCACTCAATAAGTTTTAACGTTAGATTGTTTCCTCGATATGGCCATGGTGGTCATCAGTGACTGGAGTGCCTCAAATGTTTAGAATAATTAAAATAAAATAAATGTTGTCAACTAAAAATTTTGAACGTCATAGCTAGCTAGACATTATTTTCAATTGAAAAAAAAAATTATAAAGCATAATACAATAATCCTATACTTAAAATGTATTTTCTTGTGGCCACCTGACAGCAACCTGTAAATCTGTCGTGAACGTGTTAATAAGTAAATGTTGTTCAAATTATATCGTGTTTGATATCATTTTCATCAGAAAAATCTCATCAATATGTTAAGAAAAATTTCTGGATAAAAAAACGTAAAATTAATAAAGTTGATATTTAAATCGCTTGGTTGCCTCGACTCACGTTTCATGCTTATCTTTTATTCGCTGTCCTTGTCTACGTTCGGCAAAATGTAGTCCACGACTCTACGAGTGTCAGGTTTAACTTCCTTGCGGTCTGACACTTGTGGAGAATATACTATACTTGAGACCCTGCTCGAACTGAGAAATCGACATTTATAATTCAAGGGATGTCCAGCACGTTCGGTGACACGGGCAAAGTGTAAAAGTTACCGGGAGAGAAGGTGGAACGTAGTTCTCTCGGAAATATGGTTCATTTTTAAGCGCGGTGACGCGCAACCGGATGAAAAATGGATCGTACACGAAGAAGTTCCTACTCCCGGTACGCCGAGATCATTACCTGGAAGACGAACAGTGATTGCAGTTTGTTCTTCGCCTTCCTTTTTAACCTCGATAGAACGAGAGGAAGCGTTTATAAACATCGTTCGAGATGTTGTTTAAACTTTCGAGGACAGCGATTTTTCCATTGAAAAGTTGCATTTTTTAATGTAAAATTCACACGTGTTCTGCCAGGGCAGGCCCAACTAAAGGTTAACCCTTGGCGTACTGTGTCGGAGTCACTTTTCACCCTCTTTTTGGAGAGTTTCGAATACTTACCATCGCTACCACAAAATCACAACGAGAAGTGTAGAAACAAAGAACACGCGAATTAGTTTTTTTAGAAAGCTCCGAGGAAGAAAGACTCTCGATTATTTATTATTTCGTAATAACTGTTTCGAGCTCGAGTGATCGTCGCTGCGTTAGTAGAACATCTGTGAGGAACTCCGTCGACCAGGAATGTGTGATTTAGCGGAATTAAGCAGAGTTTCGGTCGACTGGAAACGTTGAAAAATAGTACACGACAGAGATGTGAGAAGTAAATTTGAAAGGTGGACAGTGGAGGTATGAAGTCGAACGGAGAACTATGCTCGGTATGCGTGCACTTAATTGAAGCAAAAGAGAAACACAGATGCAATAAAGCAGCGCGCGACCGCAGCACAGGCCGTAATGCGGTCTACGCAAACCCTCGAGGGCTTCCTAATTAATTCCAAATTACGGTCAGATCGAAAATGCATTACAGTTAGGTCGGAGGTGCAGTTGTCTGCCCTCGCAGCTTCCTCTTGATACGATCTTTCGACTAATTACCGTGCTGCGAGCAACTCCACTACCTACACTTGCTCCTCCACGCAAATTTCCCCATTATCTTCCCTGCAACGGTCTCTTTCACCCTTTCTCTTCTCTCCTTCGACTAAATCTTTCGTTTCTTTTTCTAGAAATTTCTCGCGTAGGAATATAGGAATATACAGTTTTGTCTCTGAACACCCTTCGTCTTTTGCATTCACTTCTTGCAATCCTTTTTTCGCTCTTGTCTTTCGTACTCGCTTACACTCGGTCGCGACGTCGCTCTTATCACGCACGCATTTTCTCTTGTCTTTCATACTCGCTTAAACGCGCTCAAGCTCGATCCCAGATTTGTACACGCATTCGCACCGATTTTCGGTCGCGACGTCGCTCTCATCGGTGAGTGTGAAATAAGTAACTAATTATTTAATTTAACGCGTGAACAATGACGCGAATAAAGAAATAATTGCCGATCTATCGTATCACGCCACCACTGCGCCCTCATTCCAAACCTCCTTCAGCACATCGTTGCTTCTCCACTCTGCCCAAACATTCTGATCTCACAATTTTTCCATCGATATCCATCTCGCGAAAGAGGCTAATTTGTATCCCCCGGTTCGTTCGTAACGAGCCAGGCATGATTAATCGAAGTTTCCGGGCTGATGTGTAAGTTGCTGATTAATTTAACGTCGATAAAGCGTGGCGTTCACGTTCACATGGAGAGGACACGCGAAAGCATAAATTAGCCAAAGTCACTCAGCGAGTAACATGATTATTTCAGGAGGACCTGGTGGCACGGTTGACGAGGGAGAAGGCTGAACAGCTACGAACATTGTCCTCGCAGCTGCTCCTCTTCGAGTCGAGACTCTGTCGGAAGCAGAAAGAGATCGAGGCTAGTCTGGCGCAACGAGAATCGATTATTCTCAGACAGCAGAGGGTTATTCGACAGTTGCAGAGCAGATTGGCGGAAAGAAGCACGGGTACGAGGGATTCGCCACCCTGCGATGCTCTCGATAGATTGGACAGCCTTGGCGACAGCGACAGCGCTGTCGTTCTCGAGGAAGCAGCCGATGATCTTGCACCACCTAGGTACATATCACTTTTTATTATAATTATCGAAAAGTCTACCGATGCTCGACGTACGATTTATTTTCCTGACTGCGTCTAAGCGTCAGCTATCTATCGTTTCGGTACAATATTAAGCAAGAAGAGCTGCAATCTTCGGCTTGACAAACGAAACGGAAAATTGGAATTGAAGTGAATTTTTCTTACCGATGTAGCTGTTTTTATCTGTAGCAAGGGGTTAATTAAAGTGCACTCTCTTTGCTTTCACGTTGAAACAACATTTTATTCAAAGGTTCAGCTCGCACTCGTGCTTGTTTCTTGAAAAGGCATAGATAGCAGGAACGTTCCTATTTATTATCGTTAAAGACACCCCACGCACACAGCTATTCAAATAGAAGTTTGAAAAGTTCTCTCACCCCGGTGAATCACGTGTGAAAGGTGTCGACACGTTTGCAGATTCCGCTCGAACATCACCGACGTGACGGTGATCCGATCAGTGTCGGACGCGGTCGAGCCATCGAGCAAGTACTCGTCTATGCGACGGTGCAACGGTTTCCTCAGGCGGCCGGAGATCCTGGAGACGGTTTATTCCGTGGAGGAGGATGGAGACAGCGAGAACAATCAGGACCCGTCCGAATCCACGGAGAATTCCGAGTGCGAGGAGAGACGAGCGAAAAACTTGGGGAACGGAAAAGGCAGGCTTCAGGATTTGTACGGCAGCTTCGAGAGACTCGCTCAAGAGGCGGATTCACCGCCAAGCGAGAGACCTCGGGACGAAAGTCAGCAAGCGCAAGTAAGGACCAAATTGAATATCTCTCCCTTTCTTCCTTCCAACGTTGTCTCAGCTTCGATTTGCATACGCAGCTAAGCCACCTTTCGACCTTCTTCTCCTTTCTCCGTTGATCGGCGCAGAAGAAGCAAGAGGGAGCGTAGAACACTTTTCCTCTTTTTGAACGAATAAACCTGCCCGTTAAGAAATTTTAAGTGAAAAAATTCTGACTTACTCTACCGGGCACTCTGCTCGTTTCTTCAAAGAGCCTTGTATCAATTGCGTAGATTTGGTTCGTTCGAAAATTCGAAAGATTTTCGTTATTTTCGTGGCTGCTGCAGACGTAGTTGAAAGTCTTGAGAGGAGATACAGCGGATGAATCCCGGCTATTTTTCAGGTCACGTACAACAGGGTAATGAGCAATCACCGATCGGTAACGAAGCCAAAAGACGTGAAATACAAGAGGATAAACAAGGCGAAATCGAAGAGTCTGGAAGAATTGAGGGGACGACTGCGAAATTGGGTGGAGAAGGGGAACAAAATTGCTATATCGTTGGATCAATCTTACGCCTGAACCCGCGTACCTCTTGAAAGTATATAGAAATTCTCGCAAACGGCGATCGCGATCAGTTATGATCGCCGTGGTTGTAATTTCATTGAAATTCTCATCGCTCCATGTGATATTTACTGTAGTGTTTCAAGAATTAATTAGGAACCTAACGCAATTCGTATTGCGAGACACACGTTGTGCGTGAAATATTTTCAAACACTTGTGATATATATAAATGATTTTATTGTAATACGACCACGTTATCTAGTGATAATTATCGTCCCGATTGCGAGACGGCATATTAAGGGTCGATCGGGGGAGGCGAGATAAATCGAGAGAGAATTGTTACTCGTATACGTAGAAACGAGAGGCTAATCTTGGCGAAAGATATTTTTTCCCTCTCCTCCTGTATCTTCCCTGAAAGAAAAAAAAAAAAAAAAGAAAAAGAAACGTATAAGCGTAAATAACTTGTGTTGTCGGAAAACCGCATTGCCAAATTATATGGCGTACAATCTGCATCCCTGTACGATACTACGCTGCAAAAACTCTCTTCTTTTCGACCGGATACAGGAATACACAGTATACACGCGTATAATTGAGCCGAATCTTTCTTATTGTATCTTTCTTCTTTCCTGCGAAAAACCCGCAGCACCGCGTTCTTCGCCAAATCCGCCATGTTTGACCGCCACGTTTAACGACGATCGTAACGGCGTTCTAACCTTAAAACGGATCCCTTTCGTCAATTACGACCATCGTGCTATCGGTTGATCGACGCGACGATATAATCTGGAACAAGCTATCGAACGATACACGCCCGATCACATTGTCGAAACTGGCCTGAGCTCAATTTTTTAAGCACTCTAGAGAAATTGATCAAGTACCGTCGATATATCGCTATGTCGCGTCACGTTTTCCTCTGCCTACACACACGTACACCTCTGCGCACCTACGTACACAATTTATCTATAAAGAAAAAGAGAAAAAAAAAAGTTTACAATGCATAAAATGCGAAACTTGATATTTTCGAGTGTCTTCGAGAGATAATCTTCTTCCCTAGTAACGTTCGATGAATATTGTACATTTTATTCAATATCGAAGAATGTGCCACACTCTCTCTATCTCCACTTTTCTAATAAAGATTTCGTTGCGCGAATTCGCTCACCAATTCTGCCGGCAAGCTGATGGAAATTAATTAATACTTTAGATTGTAAGGAAAAGAGATATAATTCAGAGAAATAAAAAGTATTACTATGTATTAAAGAGAATATATGTACATCGTGAATGCGTTAGAAAAGAAAAAAAGAAAGTCGGGTGCTTAAAGTACCCCTTACAGTATTTGAACAGTTTGACTATATTCTATTTAACTACGATTGTTTCCATTGGCCTGGTGACTGAATTTCTTCTAGATAATCTGCAAGATTATCTATTTCCCAATCAACTTGAGATAATCACTATCTACATAATGTATATACGATGCATTTGCAAGTATGTAATGCAGCACGAGTTATTTTTTCGAACTTTAAGAAAAACGTTCGTAATACACGAGTTACTCTGTAGCATATTTTTCGATCGTTCTTTACGCCGTACCAACGATACGAACTCGACACCCTATTTATTGACCACGCGTATGCGCGTTCGGTCGGTTTGATTTTTGTATCTCGTTCTAAACGAAGTGAGAAGGAGAAAAACATTCTTGCGGGTACCTGCGTTAATTTTAAAAGTACATAAAAGCGTTTTCTATTTCGCGTTCCGTTCGAAGCGAATTTATATATATATATATCCTTCGACGCGTCTTCAAGCGGAACAACGGTACAACAGAGCTATCGACAATCCCCACTTTTGATGAGAAAAAAAAGAAAGGAGAGAAAAGAATATTCTATTAGAAAGAAAGGATCTACAAGCAGTTCTTTTTTGTAAATAATAGACGAGATGAAATCCATATGTAATATTTTAAACGTTTAAGGCTCCTCGTAATTCTGCAAGATTTATCATGTAGATAGCCGCGTTAACGGTGAGAAATAATAAATTTTAACGATAGAAAATCAAGTTTTATGTTCCTGTAGGCTACATAACAGCCACCGAGAGATCTCGTGCATAATATATTTGCGCGCTTATAAATACATATACTTATAAATAAAATGCATATAAATATATATATATATGAAATACCATATAAAAAAGTATACTTGAGTCTACTACTTGATAAAGAGAATGAAAAGGAGAAACCAGAATAATGTGAGCGAACTGTGGTGAAACTACAGCCACGACGGTTTGCAGACGTTCAACTATACACGTGAACAGATGCTACAAAACGGTATATAAAGAAAGTCGACTGTTATTTTAATTTATGTTAACGATGTAACGTGTATACCGTCGCTTTCTTAGAAAATTAGTAGACTGCTACCAATATTATCGCATTATTATTTTAATTATTATTAAATCTCAAATAAATTATAATACCAACTTGCTGTGTAAAATTGTTGTCCTCTTTCACTGAAATTTAGCCAACGAGAAAATTACATAATTCGTACCCGTTATTTTTATACCACATACTTACATCTTTACGCGTTATATTATTTCTCGTTTCTTCGTATTTTTCTTTCGAATAATAAACAATGCATGTTTATATACGTTTGCAAAAATGCAATACCGACTGAAGATAGGGTAACTTTCGCAGTGCCATTTTAAAATGTTCCCACCAATCATGTGCAATACAGGTACCGCCTTCAAAACAAAACAATATGGCCGCTACTACGCACAACTGGAAGTAAGCCGGGATGTGTTGGTAAAATTTGATCGTAATAAAAGTCGCGACTGATTTTCGTTATTGACATGATCATTGTACTGTTTCACGTGCTTTATCTGTTCGGCAAATTCGTGTATCAAAATTACCGAACAAATAAGCGAAAGGCCTTAAACGATGACGCTGTTATCGAGGAAAAACAATTCAAGATTTCTGAAAGGGATTATAAGCTACGAGATCCTGAGGCACCTCAGGATATCGAAAAACATGTTGTAAGATTTTTCCCGCCGGCGTATATACAAAGATATGTTGCTGTAAGCGATTTACTTAGTAGGTCGAAATACCAAGGAAAATTACGCAAGGTATTAGGCTTTCTTCTATTCCCTCGTTACGTTTTAGTTGCCGCGTAACTTTTTCTTTGTTACCGGGAACATTCTAGTTGACTTTTATCGTTCTCGTAAGCTGCTTGGTTACAAATATTCTAAAACCATAATCTACGAAGTAGACGTGCAATTTTGTAGATTACATAATGTAGTTATTTCGTTGTTGTTAAATATTACCTCATCAACTGACTATTGTTCTTTTCGTCTTTTTAGATTGTTGATTTTGGTTGTGCAGAACTTGATTTTTTCGTTTACCTAAAGAATACAGCCGGTGTGGAGGAAGTATTATGTGTGGATATTGATAGAAGGCTTTTAGAATCTTACAAAGACAAGAGTGCTCCATTAGTTTCTGAATATATACAAAGCAGGACAACACCACTTGTAGTTGAAGTATGCGAGGGTAGTGTCACTCATAATGATAAGAAACTAGAGAAAACAGATGCTGTGATTTGCATAGAATTGTGGGTTATTATTTAACATAGACAATTATTTTATTTGCTTTAGTTTTCAAACTACAGAAAGCTAAAGTACAAATGTTATTATTCTGTAGAAGCTACAACAAATATTTTGACACTTCAGGATCGAGCATTTGTATCCAGATACCTTGACAGATCTTCCGCACAATATTTTTGGATATATCAAACCAAAATTGGCAATAATAACTACTCCAAATGCAGACTTCAATGTGCTATTTCCAAATTTTTCTGGATTTAGACATCCTGATCATAAGTTTGAATGGACTAGGCAACAATTTCAAGATTGGTAAAGATGTGCAATTTTTCTTTCAATCAAAAATTTACATCTGTCGTTGTAACACGTCATTTTTATTAACAGGGCTGAAAATGTCACACTGAGATATTCAGACTATAAAGTAAGATTTGAGGGGATTTGTAAAGGTCCAGAAGGTACAGAGCACTTGGGATGTTGCACACAAATGGCTCTGTTTGAACGCGTTAGCGATGAAAACGTTTGTAGCTGTGGCATTGAAGGGTTATTTAAAACTGTAGTTAGACATGAATACCCCTTTCGGGTAGATAATCGTTCGGACGAAGAGAAGATTCTTGATGAAGCTGCATTTTACATTAGACACTTGTCGTATAAAGATTGCGATATGGAGGAAGAAGTGCCGTTACAAAAACTATTGGATATGTTAAAATCGTTTCACATTTCTATAAATGTATTACAAACAATCTTAGAGGAAGCCGGCTGGGTGGTTGAAAATCGGGAATCTGGACCAGTCGTACTAGTGCCATCGGAATCTTTTTCTGATTATAGTGCGGTGGAAAATGAGCTTTGGAATGACAACTTTCCCACAGATGAAGATGACTGGAATAGAGAACCTGGACCACCTGTACATTCCATCAGATTTTTAGAACAAAATTCTTTAGACAATTGGGACGATCAACATTGGGATGAAGAACCAAGCATTATTATCCCACAAAATAACACTACTCTTGAAGACAATACTTATCCCTTTGATGAAGAAAATGTTTTATTAGATAACGTATCTGAAACGAGAGAGGGTACAGAAATTTTAGAAGAATACAACTCTGATATTAGCAATAAGGAAAATTTACAGGCAATATCTAACATAAATAATCTCGACGATTCGATTCAGGATAACGCTTCGTCATTCTTAAACGAATCAACACAATTATCTGTTTCTTCTTTTAATACAAAATCAGAAGATACGAAGGAAGACGCGTTTTCGGGAATAACATTGAGCTCGCAAGACGACAATGTGTCAAGCACCGCAGACAACCTCAACGAGATATTAAGTTTTCCGAGGTTCATATCTGTTTCGCGTGCATCCACCTCACCGCAACCGTATCTTTTACAATCTGTTAAAATGGACCGGCATTTCGGAAACGACAGTATGTGTAATCAAAGCATGAGTAGTCACTGGATGTTAGACAGTTCAATCGAACAGGAAAATGTATCGATAAACACAACTACGGACGCAAGTATTGACAAATGCAGTAAAAAAAATAATTTTAACAATTGTAGTCATTTACATACGATATATTTAAACAAATCATGCAATGAAACCGAGGAGGAGGACTCTGATGTTACAAGTTTAAGTAGTAATATAAATGAAAGTACAAGTTCTTTTAGTCAAGATCAAATGCAAAGTGTTCAACAAAATAGTAACGTTTCAACAAATGATTTTCCACTACGAGATCAATTACAGTCAAACAGTAGCATATCCCTCGCTAATAGCGCTCTAATAGAAAGTCAACCGCAGTTTACAAGTTCGCCAAAGGTCGAGACTAAAGTAAGTGCTGTTGGGAAAAAACGCAGGTCCCTCGACTATAAAGAAGAGAGAAGCAATAGCAATTCGTCGAATATAACGCAACAATCTGAACTAATAAGCCTTAGTGATAATCCTTCGTTAGAAAGTAGTAATAATGCGTTATTGCAAAGCACTAACGACGCGAACATATCCACTGCAACAACTGTTAATTTAAGCACAATGAAAGATTGGACGAGAAATTTTAGCGAAGTTACGCTTACAAGTAGCGATACGACGTCGACACTAGGTTCTACACTAAACGACGATAGAAAGACGGTAGAAATACTTGCTGCAACAAGTTCTTTAAGTAGCGACGATAGCTTGGAAAAGAATGAAATGTTACACGTTAATGTTACAACAATTAACAAAGACAAATGGTCAAGTTGTACTACGGAAAAATCAGGAAGGGAACAAACAAAGCCTGATACGATAAAAACAAACGATAAAGAAGCACTTGATTGTGATAGAAAAATTCCCTTAAGCAATCAGCCATTAACGATTGAATCAGAGTCAAAGACTGATCTAAAATCTGAATTATATAATGTTCGTGATTTAGCAAGCGCCAAAAATGTACATAGCACTGAATCGTCTCGTAATCGTACCAAAGACAGTAGCTTAAAAAATATATCCCTTGTATCTAGCCTACATTTCGAGGATACAAGGGACGTTCAATTCACGTCAGTATTAAAAAGTGAGAAACAATTAGAGTGTGACGTAGAAAATGGCGAATCCAAATGTAGAAATACAGATTTTAGTGTGGTAGCGGTAGTAGAAAATATCGAATTGAAACTTTCCTCTCCAGAAACTGTGGAAACACCGCCGACCAGTTGGTCACCGGAAGTGATGGATTCTGGATATCCAAACTCCGCTTCCGCTCAGGACATGACCCCGGAGTATGATCTCTCGAGTATAGCGCAAGATCATATATCTGACTCGGAATCGCCAAGTGTAGCGGAAGCACCAAGACTTCTCGAGGTGATCGCCGTTGAAAATGGTGATCTTGCGAACAATAATAGAGACGGCGAAGGTAACAACATGGAGGCCGCGGAATTAAATGACATAGAAGACTTGCAGCCGTTGATTGATGTACTTGAAAATGACCTTGAAAATGAGAATGATATTTACGTTGTAGAGAATGATTTTCCTATATGGTTGTTGAGGATACTTAATATGGCCAACCCTATTGACGTTGGAATACACATGCAGGACCATAGAGAGCTTAGGTTTCCAAATGAAGAAGCAGGTAGTTGTTTGTTTTACGTTTGAAGTTACAGAATAGGTAGGAAGTAATTGCTATACGATCTTTTTATAGGAGTAGATGACGATGCAGCAAGGTACGTGAATATGGAACACGACGAAGGTTTCGACAGTAGTTCCGAGGAAAATAGCGATTTAGAAAACAACGAGATGAGAGATAATGTAAATGAAAACGCGTTAATGAATGATGATGTTGAAAACGATGAGAACAGCGATAGCGGAAGTGAACAGTGGGCTGCAGGTGGCACGTGATACTATTAAAATAATAATCTAGATGACTTCACATATCGTCCTCCAATATGTTTGCAAAGTCTGAACTTTGAAGGTAATTATTCTTCAAAAATATATTTGCTAATTACATTTTTTTTTCCTTTTTTTTTTTTAAACTAAGTTCTTATTTGCAATATATTTGGATACAAATTTCTGACGAATGTTTTGACTACTCTAAAGCGTTATAAAATGCATAAAAACCATTCGAGGAATTTGTTCACAAAGGGACTATGCTTTCAGTTTTATACGAAGAGTGAATTCTTCTGTTTTTTTTTTTTCTCTCTTGTACTCTTTTTCTATTACTTTTCCCATTAACCTTGTATGATCGCGCAAATACAGATTCGTGAAGAACTCGTCTTTGTATCTCGCCTATTGGGGAATTAGTGTCCTCTTAGCAAGCATGAAACAGTGTTTCAGTACCAATGTATTTGTACGCGATTGTATACTATTAATAAGATTTGCTTGTTACCACTCGAAGCATTAAGACGTCGAATTTAAAAAAAGATATATATTTTCTTACGATTTTCAAGACTTCCTCATCATGTCGTTTATTAAGTACGTAAATAGGATTTATAATGCGCTATTTTACTTATGTATGGTTTACAGAAGTTTATCGATGTGTTACGTTTTTTGTCTATTTTCACCTATTTAATAAAGTACTCCGTTAATTTATGACGTTTTGTGTTATGCGTTGAGATCTATCTAAGATTGAAACCATATATCGTTCCGTTTCCATTTCGAACAAATAAAAACGCATCCTCCGAATAAATTCACGCCTTGTCTGAGAACCACAGTTTTATTAATGCCACAAAACACACTTATGAAATAGACAGATATGATATCTTTCTTTATTTCAATAATAGTGGAATGACATTACAAGGTGTACAGTGATACATATGTAGTAATCCTAATTCTTTACATGACTTGTTAGTAGTTTATCTTTGTATATATTGTTTTTTTTTCCTTTTTTTTTTTTTTTTTTTTTTTTTTTTTTTTTTTTTTTTTTTTTTTTTTTTTTTTTTTTTTTTTTTTTTTTTTTTTTTTTTTTTTTTTTTTTTTTTTTTTTTTTTTTTTTTGTACGAGTTTCTATAGTGATCATAAAATTCGCTCTCGATCGTGTATATATTACTTAGTGAATATCACTTTAACAGAAGCCAAATTAAACTATTATCGATTTGAGGAGGGGAAGAAAAAAAAACAAAAAGGTAAAAAATAATCGTTACCAATCTCTTCCGTAAAGTTTACGACGCAAGATAATGGCACGATATTAATTGCTGATACTACAAACTGATAATTCACAGTACGATCAGCGTCAAATAAATTAATCGATAGTTCTGTCAAACGAATGGCACTAATTACGAAGCTAGATTTACAATCTAAAATACCCTTTCAAACATTCACGAATATTTATTATTCATTTTTTATTGTTCGCGTAACAGAAGAGTTTATTAAACATCTGATTAAATTCTAACTTCAAGTAGTGCCTTAACATAATTTATGGCCTTAGGTCTAACTTGTATAGACTCTATCAAAAACGAAGCACAAAATGGCAATTAAATATGCTTTTAAGCGTCGTTACGCGTGTACGTGTCGTTTACCAATCGCAGACTTATACAATTAAACTCTCAAAAAAGAAAAAGAAAAAAAAGATAACAAGGTAAACCAAGGAAGTATTTTGTATCGTGAAAGACTATTCCTAGCCTTACGTTATTTTACGTTATATCGTCCAGTTATTAATGTACGTACAAAGCGTCGCAATATTGTTCACGGTCATTGACACATTGCTTACGGTATACTACGAAATGGATCGAAATTCGAAAATGATAAATTGACACGTTCGACTTCTGTAATTTTTCAAAAATAATTTTTAACAACTTCGTTCAATAACAGAGGTGTAGATGATGCGAATTAGCGTAACAATTCGCGTCTCCCGTCAACAACGTGTTTAGAACACCGACCGTGAGATAACAAGATTACATATAAAAAAAGTAAACAATAAGAAATGGTTTTTTTTTTTCACGAGCTACTAAACATCACTGGACGCGGTTTAAAGTTAGCTGTGAAAGCGCATACGTCAATTAGTGTCATTAAATATTTGCTCATCGAAATATTGTCCATGTCTCGGCTAAAATAAGATATGGTTTAAATAATAAAAAAAACGCACTCATATGATTTTGGAATGTCAACATAATAAATCGGTACCAAAGAAGTAAATAAAACTACAGATATGTGTTTCGCTTCACATGATCCAGTTTTTTTTTTTTTTTTTTTTTTAAATATGGAATCTCTAATTTCTGCAGTCTGTTACGTTTGTTAGTTGCCTGAGAGTACCATTTATGTACAGTAAATTCTATAGCACTTCTATTTTTCCACATCTTAGACTAGTTTCATACAAAACGTAGTGAACTTATCGCTAACATCTATTGTAATATATTTTTTTGTTTGCATCTCCGTATGTGCCCTATCTCTTAAATGGTTGCTTAATATAAGATTTTCCAATTTCGCGTGAAATCTCTTGCTACTAAAGCATAGAAAACAGATTTCAAATAATATCGGAACAACTTACAAGCCGAATTCAGGTAAAAATGAGTATACTAAAAGAATTAACAAATGTCAACAAAGAATATCTCAAGATCAATATCAAGTGTTGCAGGATAAAGCTATCCTCGCTAAAAGCACGCAATGAATAGTGCACGTGAGGAACCTGACGGAAAAATATACCGAGGGTATATCGTTAACAGACCAAGTAGAATACTACATGTAATCATGGACGTACATTGTGTATTCGAATTTGTGTCTGAAATAGGTCTCTTTCTTGTAACGTACGAATTCTTCTTCCAACATTTCGCCTGGTTAAAGTAACTTCATTTTAATATGCGTGTAGAATGTATGTATATATATACATATATGTGTGTGTATATATATATATATATTTATAATATAATTAAGATTGTTCTTCTACTTGAAAATAGCCTTCCCCGTTTAAACGTACATAGTCATACGCACTTCGATTCGAATACTTACTGCATCACACAACCTCTTTCAGATTATCACGAGTCTCGCGATTACGGGAATGTATCAAGTGATGCATTTCACCTCCAGGTGCGCTGTCCCGTCTTAAATCTTTCATCAATGAAGGAGCCATTACATCTCTTTTATTCGCTGCTTCTTTTATGCTCGACAGCGTCTTGCTAAGCCATGGCCAGCTATTTCTTGCCGCTTGAAGTTCAGAAGCAGTTGCGTGCAATTGATGCGTCAGATCCTATAAAGCAAACTAGCCTTGTGATACTAATACTAAGAGAAAGCCACACGAACGTATTACGTACGGTATATTTACTTACTTGATTCCTACATTCAGCTTCTACATGGGCCAGCTTAGTTTGGGCCAATTCCAATTCCAATTCTCGCACCCTCTCCTGTACTCTATGCAACATAGGATCTATCCGGTTTTCTAAAGGATGTGCAATGTCTGCCAATATATTGGACGAATCTATTATGCAACTCCTACAGTTCTCGCATTTGGAAACCTTGTTCTGCAAATGTACAATTGTTTGTGAAATACCGTATAAAGATTCAATGGGAAATCAACGATCCTCGCTTACCCGCAGTTCACTGAGTGTTGTCTTTGCTGCATTATAATCATCTTCTAAACGTTGACAAATCTGAAATGGATATTGCAACCGTGTATTTTTTTCAGTTAAGATCCATTTGGTTCACAGATACCCACCTGTTTGTATTCAGCAATAATGACGGTACTTCGTCGGCTTTCTGCATCTGCCCTTCCAACTTCTCGTTGCAACATTTCTTTCACTTGAACCAATTCAGCTTCCAATCTTTGTTTCTCTTCCTCGACCCTTGCTACCGTACCCCGTAGCTGTTCTACCTCGTTACTATATTCATCGGCATTTTCTTGCGCTTCTACATCATAAAGAAACAGTTTCACTTTAGCTTGTACTTGGTTGGAACGATTATTTGTATAGTGTATCAGTCTAAAATATACAATACATATGTACATAATTGTATAGAAATATTTATACATATATCGTTGTTGTAATTATCCTATAGCGGGGAAAAAGTATTACGATATTTCAAGTTGATATTATGTAAGAAGCTTGTTAATACAATCTTACTCTTTATCAATGCCTTTACAATGTTACTCATGATTCCAACAGTCGGAGCATTGAAAACGAATGGCTTGAATGTAACTGGCGGACATGCGATATCTTGCAAAAGCAGATACCAATGTCCCACTATATTCTTTGTGCAGAGCATACCATGGCCAATTTTAAACTGCTGGCACAGCTGTTAGCTAGATATGTCTGTTACCTACTATAGCTAATAAACGTGTAGATAATGTCACTGATAAACGAAATTTCAACGTGTTCAAGTTATAAGAAACAGTAGATTAAGATTAATCTAAAACTATTTGCTCTACTGTTTTCTATTACTTTTCTTTATAAACAGGATGCTGTATACTTGTTGAAAGATAATGAAATTATTATTTTTATAAATCATAACTTCTTTTTTTTTCATAATAAACGATGGTACCTCGCTATGGTATATTTATGATTTCGAAGGATAATTTTGAATATTTTGTCAGGCTTCTTTAGCCTTAACAACTTTGTATACCATTTCTTCGAATTCGATAGTTAGTAGTTAGTAAGATAAAAGCTAAAAGCGTTTATACCTTGATACAACACTATCATATATTGCATGCAATTCCAACTGAAGCAAGAAATGAAACCAAGAGTGTAAAGGAACAGGGTACACAGGTAAATTGACAAAATTAAAAACGAATATTCTATACGGACAATTTATTTCCAGACAGAAAAAATAAATAATTTGTTTATAAAAATTGATATACAAGATAGTATACAAAGCAGTATGGCTAAACAAGCGTGAACAGATTTTATTATAAACAACACGAAATTGTAGAAATTTACAAATATTACAACATAAATAATTCAATAAAAAAAAAAAATTAGCTCTCTATACTGAGTACAACTTTTAGAAAGTGCTTTTCGTTGTCTATAACAGCAAGTGTGATGCTAAGAATCTACTCTTCGTTAGCATTTGCGAAAAAAATACCCGCAATAAGCATAACACAACCAATCGAAACAAACAGTGTTTTTATCCTGCAAGGTGTGTATTACTATAATACAACAGCTATGAAATTTCAACCAATTTACTGAATCTATCGAAATTCGAGACTTATTTGTCATTGCAACGGCAATGCACTTAACAATACTTTCTGTCCCAGATGATACAAGACTGAATCGCGATAAATATGCACGACAATAACAAAGATATTAACATATATATATATATATTCGTCAACTGGTTGAAATCTCATGCTCGTGCATAATTATCACACTGAATTCGTGTTTTATCAATGCGTTTACACAGCTTGCGTT